CCTATTTTTTCCTCCTATCTTTTAAGTGGAGTAACCAACAATGTTTTCATGGTGATCTAATGATCATTCAATTACTTGAATGCACAGGCTTTTCTCATTCTTAATCACCTGTCTCACTCTTTTTATAACAAACTCCCTGCCTCAAAGGCAAAGCTGAAGCAGCTCAAACTCTGTTGCAATTAAGAGCTACCTCTGGAGTTAGGGCATGCATCTTAAGCATGAAATCCAGGGGTTCCAACTTTGGTAGGGGGACTAGTGCCCCCCTAACTCTCATAAATGATAGCCTTGCCTGAGTCATCCGCACTTTTTACAGATCTTTCTGAATAACACAAGTATGATATTTTAGTAGGGTAAACCCTGCCAATGTCTGAAATATTATATATGGGTGGTATGTCTACATATGAATTACCTTGTACTAGCAAGGAGCCCACAGAGGGAAAAGCATGTAACTGAATGGAAAAGACATACATCCCATATTTGGTCTCCATTATGCGTTTGTAACTTCTGCTGATATCACATAGAACAGAATTGGCCTTCTCTGTTTTCTGGAACACAGGCTATGTTACACAGAGGTCTGGTTCTATGATATTGCTCATCTCCCACAGAAGGGAGTCTGTTGGGGGGGAAAAAAGAAATACCCATTGGAGTTTTATTTCAGGAACTCATGGTTATTTATTGGAATTCACCCTGCTGAAGTGGAAGTGCCCTGCTGGACCAGTGCAATAATAGCAAACCAGAATTACTAGGTGGATTACTAGCCAGATTTCATCCAATAAACTGTGGAAAAGTATCATTAATCTGTAGAGCAAGAGTATTTGCCACTGAAAGAGCCTTTAGATGTCATGTGAGATTAACAACAGGATTTGCTTTAGTAAAGTTGGATGCCGAACTGGGAGTGAGAATGTCTAGTGATGCTATAGAGTAGATATTAGTAATAAATTAACAATCATTATAATATTAATTTCACCTAATGGGGGATGAAAAACCATACTTTATGTAGCCTACCTGCTTTCCTTGCAGAAGAAGAGAGTTGGCATATGATGCATTTCATTGTTTCTTGTTCTTTTGTAGGCTACCTCTCAGCATATTTCAGTTAATGCTACCTTGTCAAAGCTATAATTTACTTACGGGGTAGTGTGCTGTGTCTTCTCATTTGTCAGCCAGTGGCTAATTCTGCTATAAATCACATCATGTCCCTACATACATTGCATTGGGAAGAACAGAGTCCCTTTTTTCACTCCATTACTAATCTGGACAACTGACCAGCAAAAATACAATTACCACAACCACAGACCCAAAACACTGCATGCTTATTCCTGCTCTGGGAAAGTAGAAAGAATCTGATTTGACTCATGGGCATTGATATAAAAATGAACTGTAGACAGCATTGTAAAGGGATAATAATTCTCTCTCTCTCTCTGTCTATCATTATCTCCCCCTCCCCTGAGCTTTGAAGCTTTAAAACAGTGCTGGGGCAGCTAAAAGTGACCTCACTGATGTAATTCTGCAATTCCACTGTCTTGATTATTATAGAGATGTGACTGGAAGAAACTCCTCCTCATCGCTCCTTTTTACTGAGGAAGAGCACTTGGGAAAGGGGAAAGAGACAATAGCTTGCCCGCACCAGGAAAGTAAATGTCCCAGCATGCAGTGTTCCAGAGCAGCATCTGGCCTGCAAGTTGACAGTGTACACTGGGCTGGACAAAGGTTGGCACTCCCTGTGTGTGAGATTATTTCCTCTCTGTTCCCTACTCCTCCTCATCGCTCCTTTTTACTGAGGAAGAGCACTTGGGAAAGGGGAAAGAGACAATAGCTTGCCCGCACCAGGAAAGTAAATGTCCCAGCATGCAGTGTTCCAGAGCAGCATCTGGCCTGCAAGTTGACAGTGTACACTGGGCTGGACAAAGGTTGGCACTCCCTGTGTGTGAGATTATTTCCTCTCTGTTCCCTAATCAAGAATAGTTGCCAACGGAAGTTCTGAGAATGGGGGTGGGTGGGCGGGGTGAGTGTGGGGGTGAACGTGGTGACTTGGAGCGATATACTGGGAACGTTTATCACAATGCATGCCCCATTGACAAGTGGTGACTCTGGCCTCTTCCACTTCTGTCTCCTCCTCCTTCCTTGTCTCTCTCGTGGTGACTTGGAGCGATATACTGTGAACATTTATCACAATGCATGCCCCATTGACAAGTGGTGACTCTGGCCTCTTCCACTTCTGTCTCCTCCTCCTTCCTTGTCTCTCTCTGGTCCCCTCTTATCAGGTTCTGTATAATGTTTTCAGTCCCAGTTCACTGCCCTGCTCTGTTGTGGGATGCCATCTCTTGTAACCCACTGATACTTTGTCAGGTTGCAGTGCGTACCCTAGAGGCACCTAATGAGAACTGCAGGTTTCCAGTCTGCTCTCTTACTGGATGGTGATATGCTTAGCCTTTACTGGCTTATACAAGGTTGGACAAAACCTACTTAGGTTGGACAAAACCAACTTAGAGGTTGGACAAAAACATGCAAAGGCGTGCCTTGTTCCTCTCAGCAGAAGTCCATGAAGGACTTACCCTTAGCATGATGGTTTCCTCACTGTTGCGTTCTGTGTGGTGTCATACCCATCTCATTTGAACCAAAAATGTGTTTTGACTGGTGTTGACCCACAGCTGTGCTGGTATGATTTGACCCTGTGGCTTAGTGGTAACACATCTTTAGAGATCTGAGATTAAGCTTTGTGGTTCCTAGTAGCTGCTGGGAGAGTTTTGTTTCTCTTCCAGTGATCTGTCAAACTCAGCAAGGAGGATCAGTGATCAGGTACTCCAGAGGGAGTCATGCCCTGGGGCTTCTTGGCTGGTTTGAAATTTTGGCGGACTGAAACAAGGCAATCCCAGAAGAGCTGTCATCAAATTCTCTTTTTTTGTGCATGATTTTAGATTGTAGCCCTATCCCTTTAATCTCCTTTATACGTTTGATGGGCTGCTTTGCTCTTCTTTGTTATATAGTGTGGACTAGGATTAAATTAAACTGATTCAACCAACTGGTTTTTAAATCAACTCAGTTAAATTGGTACAAACCTATCTATGGACAATTTAGTTTAAGCTGGTTAGGCATCACTTCAGGATAAATGAATATAAAGCAGGTATAAATCAGTTTAAGAGTATCCACACAGGAGTTTGCACAGGTTTAAGAAAGTCTGTTTTTAAAAGGCTGTTCCTAGTTCTATCACTGATTGACTTCTGAAACTTTAGGTGTGTCATTTCATCTCTCACTCCCTCAAGCTGCAAAACTGGGATTTGTTTGCCTGTTTTCCATGAGGGTTACAGATACAAGAGGGGTGAAGTAGTATCTTGTATTGGACCAAATTCTCTTGGAGAGCGATACAAACCTTCAAGCTCAAGAGAAGGAGCTCTGTGTGGCTTGAAAGCTTGTCTCTCTCACCAACAGTAGTTAGTCCAATAAAAGATATCACTTCACCTTCCTTGTCTCTCTAATATCCTGGGAACAATATGACTACAGTTATACTGCATATTCCATTATAAGTAGAGCTGGTTAGAACCTGTTTTGGTTTTTTTCATGGAAAATTTTAACTTTTCAGTGAAAAATTGAAAACTGAAAACTTTTAGCCAAAAACATTTGCTTTAAATTAAAAAGTTTATATTCAGAAATTCCTCTAGCATGCCTCATGGGAGTTGTAGTTCCGGTGCCTCATGACTCCATTTTCCTGGGCCAGGCTCCTGAACCAGACTCCATCTGTGATGATGCAATTCAGGCTCCTGACCTACTGAGCCATAATCATAGGGGTCCCTCACTGTGTGATGCATCATAGGAGATATAGCCCAGCCAGGGACTCAGCTCAGAGAAAACAGGAGCATGAAGTACCCTAACTACAACTCCCATCATACACCATGGCAGCATTTCCAGATTAATTTTCTTTGTTTGTTTTTCAGCTGATGAAATGTGGAGGTGAGGGGGTGGACCAAAACCCAAAACAAATATTTTGGCTTTCAGATGTTCTGTTTTCAATTAAAAGTTAGAATTTTCTGCAGAAATCAGAAATCACTTTCCATGAAAAACATATATATATATATATATTGCAAATCAAGTTTTCTGTCAAAAAGCAGTTTTCATCTACCATTTTGTTATGTCTTTTCCTGTCATGACACAATAAGCATTTTACAAACATGAGAGGAGAGTCAGTGAAGGAGTGCAAGTTACAGTTCTTATTATTGTTGTGAATTGTTATTGCTGCATCGGAAGTACAAGAAATGCATGTAGGCATCTTGATTCACCATTATCCTACACTTTATATTCTCATTTTCACCCAGGTAAAGTAAGTGTTCAGTAGCTATTACATCTTACCACCTGCTTCTGGTAATGATTTGCAAACTCTTTGCCCAATGTACTAGGTTAAATGAGTGAATCAGCCCTACAGTGTTTAATGCTCAAGGCTGTTGTCCAACATTCACTGAAATATAAATGTGAGTTTCATGGACAAATCTTGTGACATTTGTATGTGACTATGATGTAGCAGTACCACTCTGTATTAATTTTGTCAACTCGCCTTTTCAGCCAATCATTTATACAGTTGTCTCATTTGATTTTGACTTTGATAACATTAGCTGGGGATAAAGCAGATTTCATTCTGTGTCTCTAACTGGTTTGTAACAAAATCTGATTTAACAAAATGTGTCCATCAAGTCAAAAGGAGGATTCATGATAGAGAGCTGAACAAGGATCATGACATCCTTACATGCACGAAGCTGAGGAAGCACAAATTCTCTATCATTTATCTTAAGAAGAAAGGATTGTCCATTGTGACAAAATCACTCAGATGTAGAAGATGAAACACTGAAGGCTCATTAAGTTAATTAGTGGCAGTTCTCTGCTATAAGGAGGCAAGTGGAAGCTGGCAGAGTGATGCTTTAGAACAGCATTTGCCCAAGAGGAAGCATTATGCATTGTGAATTCATTAGTGTGTGCCGAAAGGGTAAAATCATGCTGCTGCTGCTGTTGCCGCCATGCTAACTGGGAAGGAGACCTTCAATGGCATCAATAAATGGTTGGCATAAGTGTCATTCAGGAAGATAAGTACAGCTTTGTACATGTGTCACATAATACCAAGGAGAAGGGAGCATTGGAAATCTCCATCCTAAAGGCCTAGCAGTAAACCAGTATGGCACCAGGAGGTTGGTCTCAGAACCAGCTGAGAAGCAACAGCCACTCTGAACTCTGTGTGAATCCATTGTAACTAAAAGAAACTGAGGTTTCCTTGTAGACTATTGATGTATGCCATCAGAGGAAGTAGAAAACACTAAGGACGCTGCAGTCAAACAGCCCTGCAGCCTGACCCTTGTGAGACCAAGTCAGCTGGTATGGGCCAGCCACTGTTTTTTAATTGCAGTGTAGACATAGTCCCAGAGTATGGAAGGGAGTGTCATTCCCACCCTGCTTCTAACTCACCATAAACACTTGGGGTCTGGTCCAAACTCAGTCCCTGGTCAATATTTTTCTTTGTTGTTCATAGCAAACAAACTGCATATAATCTTCCTAAGCATGGGTATGTCTGGAGTTTTTCTTCTTTGTCCCTAGTTCTTTTTGTTTCAGAGAAACCATTTTGTATTCTTTAAGTTGGCATTAATAGGATCAAGTAGTCTGGGCTTCCTGGGTGCCAACAGAATACCTCTGCATATTTGGGTAGGCCATACCACCTGAACACCAGTCATAGTCAAGTCAAATAACACTGACTGACCTTTGAATGACAGCCGTCCTGAAAATGTGAGGATTTGTTCTCATTTCCTCAGTCTGTACCATCTTTCAGGTTAATGAAAGAGCCCTACAATTACCTGGGGATGTTGCATCATGATGATGTTCTGGTGAGGACATCTCCTTGCAACACCATGATACATCATTACCATGGGGATGCACAAATATTGAAGAAAGTTGAGCTGGTCCAGAGGACTGGGAATTAAAGCAAGAGAAAATTATGTTCTTTTAATATCTTCCTCAGGGTGGTCAAATATTGTCAGGGTGGTCAAATATTGGAATAAATTGCCAAGGGAGGTGGTGGAATCTCCCTCTCTGGAGATATTTAAGAACAGGTTAGATAGACATCTGTCAGGGATGGTGTAGACGGAGCTTGGTCCTGCCTTGAGGGTGGGGGGCTGGACTCGATGACCTCTTGAGGTCCCTTCCAGTCCTATTATTCTATGATTCTATGATTCTAAGATCAGGAGCAGCAGTCTTATTGGAGATGCCCCTTTCATCTGACCTCTTGGGATCTTCCTCATACTGAAAATACAATGTGAAAATCAGTCAGGTGAAATGATGGATTATTATGCTATCAAACTACCATAACACAAGTTCTGTTTTTTTCTTCCTTTTTGGCAGTAGTTATTTTCAAAGTCCAAGATCCTGTGCCTGTCTGAGATTCTCCCAAGCATCTCTCTCCTGATGCTTATGTGCATCTACTTCGCTTTATAGATTATCTTACCCTGCATCAGCATTGCCTTCTGTTATTCGGATGTGCAGTGAATGGTGATGCTGCTTTTTTAAATATCAAACACAATGCACACTGGGCCCCAGGTCTTGTTACCATCAGTCCTGACTTCATTCACTCAATATGCTGGATCCTATTTCTCCATTTATCTGTAATGGACAGGAGATTTTGAGTCAGCAAACATTTTTTATTTAAAAAGTGAATTTGTTTCTTTCTTCCTCTCCATTTCTTCCTCTCTCACTCAAATAATAACTTTCACTTTTTGTTTATCCTCGTGCATCTCTTTCTTTTGTGTGTCTGTTTATATCATACTTTCTGTATTTTTGTTCTTTTCCTCTCTTCACCTCTGTCCTTCTCCAGTGCTCTCTTTGTTTGTCCCTTTCTATCTATAGGCCTGATCCAAAGGCCCATTAAAGTGGGTGGAAAGACTGCCATTAACTTCAGTGAGTTTAGGATTGGAACCTGTATATCCCTCTGCTTATCTCACCATCAGTCCTTTCCATGCAGAGAATATACTGCAGTTAGAAGCCCAGGTATTTGATAGCTTTCTTAAAGAGAAACAGGGTTTAAACCAGTACAACAGACATTAAGTACATTTGCATATTGGATGTGTAGAAGAAGGCTTGATAATATGTTGATTTCTGGATTTGCCCATCCTGCATACTGTGTGTCCAGCCATGCAAGGACCATGTTGACTTCTAAATGTATAACCAGTATGATATGGTCTTTATGCCCTAGAAGTAGGGCCTCATTTCTCAGAAGTAGTTGCTCTTGTGCTCAGCATGAGTATAGTTAGCACCTGTGACCATATCACTTCCTACTCCCGGCTTTCATTTTTCAGGCTGCTTATCCGCTTGAATATTTAGGATGCCTAAGGAACAAAATCTGAAGGCTCTACCCAATAGCAAACCCTGTAATTAGTGTGTTGCAAAGACAGAGAATAATCTTGTTCAGATCCACCTTTTCCCACAGTGCATGGCCCCGTCTTATTTATCAAGGAGACAAGAGCTATTTTAGTGCTACACTGTGACACAGCATATCTAAGAGAGCAGAAGTGAATGTAGGAAGTTATGGTTACTGGAAACTTTCTCATGTCCTGTGTCATTGCACAAACATATCTGCATTATAGAGATTTGCAGACACCTCTATAGTAGGAACAGAGGCTCGCTCATCTTCAAATGCCTCCCTGTTGTGTAAGTTTTCACCTGTGCTTTCTAATGAGTCACAAAGATACCTCTACTCCTCTGACAGCCTCATTGTACATTGGAGAGGGTGAGGAGTATTTTTTTCCTTCACCAGTGTCATGAGCACACAATTACCAAAAGGGGAGCAAAGGAAAAAATTGCCTCTTCTTTCCTAGAGTTGCTTCCAGCAGCTCTACACTGCTCCTTGTCCAAAGGCTCTCTCTAGACCATAATGATTCCCAGTGTGTAAAGGTCGAAGAGTTAATAGAACATGGATCTGAGGCCAATGCTCAGCATCAGGCACGTGAACAATAAAAGCGCATTTAACAAGGATTTAATGAATGGATAACACATCTGATTGAAATGCTAACAAATAGATGAATTACAAATAATCTGCACAAAGACACATAAAGCAGACTCATTTTTTGGAGCATTGGAAATCTTTCAGAAGCAAACACTTTCATTGTTTTTGTTGAGTTCCAGCTAGTCCTAGCAAAGGTGGCAAGGAGTCTTGCTAAAGAAGGCAGACACCACACATTTACAGCAAATCTACTAGGTTGGAGATGCCAGGTAATGAACAGCCTTGATCTGGAAAGTGAATTTCATTGTATCCTGGCAAACACACAAAAGCCAGTCTTGGCTTCCCACTCCTATTATTTGGTATCAGTGCTTGAGATCAGCTTAATATTTTACCTTCATCCTTGGCTGCCAGGCATAGCAGACAATACCCTTATCTGCAAATGTCATCGGTATTAGGAAAGGGAGAGAAGAAAGGAAGAAAATAGGGAACAGGGATGGCATGAAGCAGTCGTTGAAGTAGACGGGCTTTAATGGAAAAAAAAGAATCAATGTATCATACTTTAATTAAAGCTCTGCAACAACCCAAGGACCATCAATATGGACTAATAGGCAATAGTGCTAATATTTAAAGATGATTTAAATGATGGTAATGATTGAAAAGAGGGAATGAATTATGCTGTCTCTCTCGTGCTCCCCTCCCATGCACAGGCCCCTACTGTTTGGCCATGTGTTGTTTTATAAACTCATGACATAACCATCAGTCTGTAACTAACTACCATGGAGAGACATTGTACCCACTGAGAAGAATTATATTAAACAAGGGCTTCTGGATTTTTTTAAAAAAGCAGATGGAGTAAATAAAATGAGCTAATAATAAGCATTCAACACGAGGGTTGTAAATATGGAGAACCCAAATAATCCCGAACTTGGCTCTAAGGAAAGCCCTGACTTTGAAAACATTGTAACATTTTGTTTAGACTGAAAATTTTGAAACAACATATTTCTGTATTTCTAAATTCAGTTCCTTTGGAAATCAGCCAAGGGTGAAGGTCAAAAGTTGTTTCAGAATAAAAATAAATGTCCAAAATATTGCTCTTTCCCATGGGATGCCCATTCTATATTTTTATCAGTACTTCTCATTGACTTAAGTGGTCATGGGAGGACACGCTGCTCAGAGAAGAGTCTGGATCTTATTTTCTCCACAGTCACTTATAAGTGAGGTGAATGCCATTCAGTGCAACAGGTGTTTTTTGCATGGAGATATCATTCTTCAGAGGTAGTTGGGTAGCAATGCATTAAAACACCTAGGGGCCCAAATATGACTAGCAAGAAAATGAGAAAGGGTGAGGTTAGGGTTAACTTTGTGTGAAAGGCCACTCATAAACACTACAGTAAATTGGCAAGTTTTTAAACAGCAATGATCTTACCTGCAAATTCTGGCTTCCAGGGTGTTAGCTATTGTAAATGCTTTGTAAATTGCAGAATGTATAGCAAGGGAATTGTGAATTAAAGAGAAAAGGAAATTCAGGTGACAATAAGTAAACTGGAATGGATGTTTTGATGTCACTAGGAACCCAAGATGGCATCAGAACATTGTGATTTTACATTGTGTGTGTGTGTATGTGAAATATAATACTCTCTATAGTGTGTATCCTATTTCTTTCTACTCCTTCTTTCCTCCTGTCAGACTTCCTGTGCTTCTATTCCTCTCTAAAGGTTCTGAATAGTCTTACAGCTGTTTCCCTCCAAGCATCTTAAATCAGCTATTGATGGTGCTGAAGGTGTGTGCAATGCAACCTAAATTGTGAAATTTACCAGTGTAAAAGTTTTGCTTGTGAATTGAGATCTCACTCATGCACACATGATAGCAGGTCGTTGCTGCTGAGTTGTTAGAGAGCTGGAACATTCATTACAGTGGGAGAAGTGACAGAACATGGTATCTCCCCTATTAAAATAATTGTGGAGCTGTGGATGTTTAGAATACATCTTCAAGGAAATTCCAACTCCAGTTTATTAAACTAACAGCAAATCTTCTTCAGTAGATATGGTTGATTTTAAAATGGTAGGACTTATCATGAATTCCCATCCAACGGCGGCCTAAGCTTCATCCGTGCATCACAATTTGCAAATTGCAGTTCCAGTTAGAATGAACCCTTTGCATAGAGTAAGGATGCTTGGAACTAAAACAAAGTCATTATAAAAGAGATCACTCAGATCTGCATAATTGCACTAAAATATATAACCTCTCCTCCATGCAGTCAAACATCTAGCACAGTGTATTAGCCAGTGAAAAAGAACCAGAAAGGAAGGTTTGATTGAGTTAAGGTAAAAGTCTTTGGTCCAAAAACTGAGGTCCTTACTTAGGTTTTAGTCAGCTTTTACAGTGAAGTTAAACTCCCACTACAGCCAATTGTTTTCTATACCAGGGATGTATATCATAAAGATCTTATTGGTATGTGCTTGCGATGGTTGAATTTCTCCTGAGTGAAAAACCATGCAAGAGATATTCTGCTCAGCCCATACAAGTGCCTATAGATTTTCAAAGGGACTTGACTGATTTTCCAATTATAACAACCGATAATTGGGCATCCTTATGTCCAATGTTGGCTTTGAAAAACCAACCCTTTTTACCGCCACAGACTTTAGCGATATTTTAGAGTTTAAGAAAAAGAGTATTAGTCCTGTTTAACATGAGTCCGTGAGTAAATCAAAACTGCATTAGTGACCTAGAATCTAACTATGCAGGACTCGTAGGAAAAGGAAATTGATCATTCATAAATTGCAGAATTATTTAAAATAAGCTCCAGTGGAGTTTCAGTTCATTCAAGCCCATATCTGAAATTCAGATATTTATCTGTGACTTAGCCTCACAAACTGAGCCTGTCCTAGTACAGGACCTTTCCAGAAACAGCTGTTATTTTGAAACCACTGAATTGTTTTTGTTACTTTAATTGCGGTGTGTTTTGTTTTGTGATTCCAGCCACCGGTGCTCCTTGAGTGGGGATGATCTGAATAGACAGTGGCTGGCTCCCAGCTGCCAGCTCCATCCAACCATTTACCACACCAAGGGCCTCCTCTACTATCTGTGCAGCATTGGCCGGGCTCCATTGGTGAGTCATTTCCATCTTCCCTTATATTAATAACCCTCCATGATTCAGTTGTTACAGCCTTCCCAAAATACTCCGGTGTTGTACAGTCCAGGTCTAAGAGAGAAGAGGCCTTGGGAGATCTGGGAGTGGGGAGGAGTTTGGATATTGTACTGCCTATTGTCCCTTCTAAGCAACAACCCTACATTCTGATGTCCTCGCCAGTCTAGAGAGCACATTTGTTGCTGGGGAGAGTTTAAGGTTGGGAGAGCTGAAGTTAACATGTAGATTCTGGAAGTTCTGTGCCTAAAATCCATGCTATCTGAGAAAGCAGAGCATAGAAGTAACAAATTGCCCGAAGACAGGATACCATGTGGTAACTACTTGGAATGGGGATCCCCTAAATATTTTAGAGGTTTCTTGCAGTGTTTGCTGTGCAGGCAGGCAGTAGTTAGAGCTGTGGACTGGGAGTCAGGAAATGTTGATTTGCTTTCTGAGCATGCCACTGACTCCCTAATAGTGTGTCTGCACAGCAATGTTATTCCAAAATAACATAGTCCACTTATATACTACAAGCAGTTATTTCGACATAATGTCAAAATAATATCGAGCTGGAGGACTTCTTACTTTGACTCCTGTAATGCTCATTGTAGGAGGAGTAATGGAAGTTGGAGGAAGAATGCTTTTTCTCAGACTTCCTGCTGTGTAGACAGCGCCAAAAGCTGAAATAAACTATTTTGACTTCAGCTACGCAATTGATGAAGCTCAAGTTGAATATCTTATTTTGGCTTTACCCCTGGGCTGTGTCTAGACTGGACAGTTTTTCTGGAAAATCAGCCGCTTTGCCGGAAAAACTTGCCAGCTGTCTACACTGGCCGCTTGAATTTCTGCAAAAGCACTGACTTCCTACTGTAAGGAATCAGTGCTTCTTGCGGAAATACTATTCTGCTCCCGTTCAGGCAAAAGTCCCTTTTGCTCAGTGTAGACAGCTCAGATTTGTTTTCCGCAAAAAAAGCCCCAATTGTGAAAATGGCGATCAAGGCTTTTTTGCAGAAAAGCATGACTAGATTGGAACGGACGCTTTTCCGCAAAAAGTGCTTTTACGGAAAAGCGTCCATGCCAATCTAGACGCTCTGTTCTGAAAATGCTTTTAACAGAAAACTTTTCCGTTAAAAGCATTTCCGGAAAATCATGCCAATCTAGACGCAGCCCTGCTGTGTAGACGTGCCCTGAGTGATCTTGGGCAAATAGCCTTTCCTCTCTGTGCAAGGTGTTATTCTTTGTGGGGATTGCTGTGCCCACATTTCATAAAGCTTCAGATTCTTCAGATGAGAAAAGTGCAGATCAGTGTGAAGTATTATCCATCATTAGTGTTCCCTTCAGATCATTTCTGGTCGAGAGGGGAGAGAGTTTGCAAAGATCTCAATCCAGTGGAAGAGAGCTGAGCACAGTTTGGTCCCTATTTAGACATCTCCAGCCCATATCAGAACAACATGAACATGGATGGCAGCACAGTAACCATCCCAAAAGGGGATGAAGTTCTGTGCTTCTCTGTCAGTGAAGGGAGTCTCCTCTTCTCTCCTTTGGCTGAAAGGCCTCAGCATGAAAGGCAGCAAAGAGTAGAGAAGAAATCTCCACTAGACGGTGCTCAGTCGAGGCTTGTGGTGAGCAAATCAAGGATTCTGTCTCATGCACCAACAGTCCCTGGTGGAAAAGCGAAAGATTTATGTGAAAATATAACAATATATTGTTTAAAATTTAAATAAACATTAATTAGCCATAAGCATGACAGTGTGTTCCTGTTTCCAGCTGGGACCATCTGAAAGGCAGCTGAGGAATAGCTGAATATTCAATAGGTTTCAGAGGGGTAGCTGTGTTAGTCTGTTTCATGAAAACAAGGAGTCTGATGGCACTTCAAAGACTAACACGTTTGTTAGGGTATTAGAGCATAAGCTTTCGTGAGCTACAACTCATTTCATCAGATGCTGAAAAGAAAACGAAAGACAGAAAAAAAGAGAATATCGAGATGGGACTGTGACATCAGTGCTAATTAAATCAGAATGGATGTGGCTCATCTCCAATGGTGGTGAGAGTCATCCTGTGGCACCTTAGAGACTAAAAAAAAATATGTAGTAACAGGAGCTTTTGTGGGAAAACCCCTCTTCTTCAGATGAGCTGCTGAGAAAGTGGAACAAACTACTAAACTGGAATTCATATGTAAATTTGACACCCTGAACCAAGATCTAAACAAACATTGAGTGGTTCTCTCATTACAATAGGTAGTTTCCCATCTCCATACCCTCAGGTTCTCACCAGTATTGGAGATGAGCCACATATGTTCTGATTTAATTATCACTGATATCTTAGCCCTTCTCTACATTCTGTCTCCCCCACTCCCCCATCTTTCTTTTTCTCTTCAGCAGCTGAGGAATTGAGTTGTAGGTCACGAAAGCTTATTCTCTAATACCCTAATAAATGTGTTAGTCTTTTAAGTGTCACCGCATTCTTGAATATTCAATGTTACGCACAGATTAACAGAGTCATGCATGTCACCTACTTGTTGTGTATCTAGTTTGGTACTAGATAGTCAATCTGGCCAGTGTCACCAGATACTCTGTTATCTTTCACATACCTCATTTGATGTAGTCCCCATTTCAATAAATTATTTTATCATGTGCATAATTTTATGCTCAAGCTTAAGTCCCATTCGTTTCAGCGCTTTGCTCAATCAGGGCCAAATGAATCTTCCCACTCCAAATGAAGTCAATGATAATTTTTGCCATTCATTTCAATGGGAGCAGGATGTTTCATAGTTAGCAACTAGCCAGTAGCTTTGGGTTCCTGGAAAGGTACAGTTAACTGAAACCTCATCTATTAATCAGAGAGTTAAGCAGCTCTTCCCAAGCCTTATATCTAATAAGAGCTATCTAGATGAGTGGAGAAACTCCCTTGTGATGACTTTATGGAGGAGAATAGTGGCTGACTTTGCAAGCTAGATACAGCAGTCCTCACAATAGCACGGCACATGTGTATCCCCAGTTAATCATCTAATTGGGCATTTGTGTAGGTAGTCATGGTAACTACATGTAAATTTTCGAATGAGAGTGAATGGCAAGCCTTAGTCTAAGTGCCTGATTTTCTTAAAATCCCTGGTAGAAATGTGCTAATAACTGATTTTTCAGTTTAGTGGCTAAACCACAATATTTTATTGTGGGACAAACAAAATGTTTTTAAGCTTTAAAAATAAAATTGCAGTAAAATTTGAACAAAAAGGTGTTTCAACCTGAAAAATCTAAATATTTTGCTTAGAAAATGCCAACACATTTCTATTTTTTTACATATATTTTCAGTTTTAACTGAAAAAGTTTGGTGATTTTGACCCGAGTTCACTAAATGTTTTGGTCAACCTGAATCTGCACTATTGGGGGAGGGGTGGGATGAAGGAGGAAGAAAGGTTGACTAGTTCTAATTCCTGATTTCTCCTGCAGTTCAGGCTCTCAATTTAATTCATATGTAAGGGTTTTGCACTGCTTTTCTTAAAGCGTAATACTCCAGTCGCGAGAGATTCAAATCTAATTGATGGCTTCCAGAGCCTCTGGGAAATAGCCTAATTATTTTGCACTGTGGAATTCCTTTTCTGCACATTTGTCAGTCAAACTATTTTGGTGAAAATTGATTTTTTACTTTTGGTAGAAAAAAAATCCGGTGGGTGGCAAAATCTCATGAGACTGCTGCAGCCCAAAAGAATTTCAAGTCCACTGCAGGGCTGGGATGAGTTGTTACTGTGCCCTTGTCATTCACTAGGAGAATGTGGAGATGGGTCCAAGAACTTGAGCGATAAATGCAAAATGGTTCAAATACTACTGAGCAGATTGACTGGAAATTCCAGACTGATCCTCAGTCTGCAGCAGCCTGATGGATAGGGACAAACAACCTGATGAGCAGGGAGTCACAGGGTGGAAGATTTTCCCTGTGCTTTATGAGAAGAGTCCAACTGAGGAGGCTCACAGTTTATCAACAAGTAAATGTGAAAAAAATCTACAATTGTTCTGCCAGTGAAACTTCCTGCAAGTGTGTGGTTTCCAGCACAGGCCAGAGTTCAGCTGCTGGAGATTTAGGGTGTGTCTAGACTACATGCCTCTGTCGTCAGAGGCATGGAAATTAGACACATAGGCAAAGGCAAATGAAGCCGCGATTTAAATGATCGCGGCTTCATTTAAATTTACATGGCTGCCGCGCTGAGCCGACAAACAGCTGATCAGCTGTTTGTCGGCTCAGCGCGGCAGCCATGTAAATTTAAATGAAGCCGCAATCATTTAAATCGCGGCTTCATTTGCCTTTGCCTATGTGTCTAATCTACATGCCTCTGACGACAGAGGCATGTAGTCTAGACACACCCATAGACACCTGGGAGAGCTGAAAAATGCCCAACTCCTAGAAGCTCATTTTTAGTTAACTCGCAAACATTTTCTGTATTGTGGCGTGGCAATGGGCTATCTACATCTAATCTAACCTAATATATTTTCTCTTTCTCATTCCCAAATCTATCTATCTATCTATCTATCTATCTATCTATCTATCTATCTATCTATCTATCTATCTATCTATCTATCTATCTATCTATTTTCTCTTTCTCATTCCCAATCCTATCTATCTATCTATCTATCTATCTATCTATCTATCTATCTATCTATCTATCTATCTATCTATCTATCTATCTATCTTTCTTTAACCTCTTTGTGTTTTTGTGTTCCCATCAATACATTAGGATCCTGAGGTTGGGCCCAAATGCACTGTGAGTTATCAGTTTTCTTGAGTTAGGAGAGGTTATTGATTCCCTCTTCTCTCTTGCTCTCAGCCTCAAGTATGTGGCAAGCTGTTGGTAAACTGATTTTTCTGTCTTTGAAGAGTACATTGATTTTAGTTTACACACATTCAAAAATAACTTTTCCTGCTCTGAAAATAAACTGTGGAGCCAAGTTAGCTGATAAACCAAATGATTTCTGTGGAGTGATTTGGTTTCA